GTGTGGGCATAGAGAGCGCAGAAATACTCCCTGCTGTTTGATCGGAAGCCCTAGCAGAGTAAAATCCTGACTGCACCATCACTGGCACTGCTTTTTACTTTGGTAGAGCCACAATTTCATCCACTATTAACCCCTTGGAGGTGACAAATGGAGAAAGTAGGTGTTCCACATTCTAGTAGCACATTTGGACGGGCAGTATAAAAGGACGTGTTGATGAAGGACAAAGCAAATGTGCCCAGAACATGCCAGGTAATACTGCAGGTTCAGCCAGGCAGAGCTGGGGGCTGCCCGCTGCTCTGGCACACGGGTGGCATCCCAGGCACTTTGTGCCTCACTGAGCAAACGCTGTGGTGCATGGGAGACAGAGTACCTGCTGGCCTCATGGGCTGCCCGCTTACAGCCCAGCATTTAGTCATGATCATATTTCTGTAACACGGGAAATGGGAAACCAGAAGATGTAAGGTGTGCCAGTCATCTTGCTTATCCTCAGAGCCCCCCGGCCTGTCCTGGGCCAGTGGAACTGGGCTTACATTGCTCATCTGCGTTGTAAAGTTCTAGGAGATCATAGGCTGTAAAATGCTGGATTAGTGGGAAGCAAAGATTTTACTACAGCAGATATTACAGCCTATAAAATCATCCAACTGCTTTAAAAATCTAGCAATAGTATTTGACTAGATGGCTTCCAGCAGCAGCACAGGCTGACTGTTCTCCAGGGGTCATTCTGATGCTCTCCCAGCGCTGTGCGTTAGGCACCAACATTAAAACAGATTTATGGTCCTGCTTAGAAACGATGAACACTGATACCGATCTAGTCAGACACTGATTTTTGAATCCTGATCTTTTATGCTTAACACTGATCTGAAAGCTATTGCTGTAATGCTCCTTGTGAAATAACTTCCACTGAAAATAGCCTGTGCCTGCTGCCTCCACCCTTGCCTGAGAGCTTGATCCTCTATTAACATCGGTGATTAGTGTCTCATTCCAGTGGGATTGCTCAGGAGAATCCACAGAAAATCAGAATCTCACAGATCAGGAAAGGAACCAAATTATTTGGTCCTCTTCTTCTGCAGGGGATTCTGCAAGATCCCTCTGTCTGACTTTGCTTTGGCCAGAAGCAGAGTAGGCTCAAAGCCTGTCTCTTACACCTTTATGCTGGAATGGGAGGGCAGCTGTGGGCTCCGTAACAGAACTTCGCAAGTCACCTTTAGCTCTGGAGCTCGCTCGAGTCCTCCCTTGCTGCAGGGAATTGATACTTTAAGAATATGATTAAGGGATCTCATGTAAAGTATTGTTTTATTTGAGAAATCTCCCCTCTGGGGATGCAGTGTTTAACATTTCCTTTGGTTAGTGCAAATAATAAAAGATAAGTCTGTTCTGCCTCGGACTCCCAGTAAGAAAGAGGAACAGATTTTGGTTTACTGAGGGGTCTGCACTACTTTGTTCTCATGACTACTATATAATGGGATTGAACATATTTTATGCCATCTGGCCTGTTCAGCCGAAACAAAATACATCAGTAATGTTCCGATTGGTTTTGAAACATCTTGTTCTTGTCAAAAAGTATTTTAAATCAAAACAGGCTTTTCCAGTTTGTGTTTGTCTTTTTACTAGGAGGCCATGGAGAAAATGGGGAAAATTGGGAGAGTCGTGCAGCCCAACCATGAGCATAAAAGGTAATCCTTACTTTTGATTGTTCAGCCCTGAGAATTTACTGAAGATGAAGTTAGAGTCTCTCTCTTTATAGCCCTGCTTGAATGCAGTAGTATTTATCACCCGGATTTTTTGAGGATTATGTGGGCATCCAACTCTGTAACGTGGCTGAAGGCAGTCATTCCCCTC